CCAGCCTAGACCTAGGCCTTCTAGTCTTATTTATATTTTTCGTATTCAGCGGTTTTTCACATGAAAAGACTGGGACTAGGTTATTTGGGGGCGGGGCGGAGGAAGCAAGCCTAGAAGGCCTAGTTGATTTCCCAACAACAAGGCCAAAACTGCCCTGAAACTGCCCTGGTTGCGAAATGCCCAATTATTGCGTTCTCAAACAGAATTATTTGCAACTTAACGGCGAATTTAAACCGATACAGGTAAAATAAACTCATTTATAGTATAAACTTACTATTTTTATTTGTATACACGTCTAGAAAATCGTTTTTTTATCATAAAGTTCGAAGCAACACTATTATTTAATATGTTGACAAGGTGTAGCAAAAGAACAAAATGAGTCAAAATATATACCAAAAGTAGAATCTTTCATGAAATTTTGTCTTATACACAAGTACATTAATATATATTTTCTCAATTTTGGCAAGAAGCAGTCTTGTGTTTGTAAAATATACAAAATAAAACGGATACATATATTATTAGCCCGTACAGTACTGTATATAAAAACGTACATTGTTTATACAAATGGTATATCTGTAATATTTGAACACTAATTTCAAATTCCTCATTCCCAATTCGCAAATATAGTTATTCAAAGCAAAACAGTAGATTGTCTTGCGAATAAAAGAATTATTATTTTGTGCCGTTTCGCTACACCTTGTCAACATATATAAATAGTGTTGTTTCAAACTTTATGATAAAAAACCCGATTTTCTAGACGTGTATACAAATAAAAATAGTAAGTTTATACTATAAATGAGTTTATTTTACCTGTATCGGTTTAAATTCGCTGTTAAGTTGCAAATAATTCTGTTTGAGAACGCAACAATTGGGCATTTCGCAATCAGGGCAGGGCAGTTTTGGCCTTGTTGGGAAATCCACTAGGCCTTCTATTTTTTCGCTTGCGTCAGGCTTGTGTCCTTCCTCCGCCCCGCCCCCAAATCACCTAGTCCCAGTCTTTTCATGTGAAAAAGCGCTGAATATTAAAAATATATAAATAAAAATAGAAGGCCTAGGTCTAGGCTGGATGTTATCCACTGATCGCCCTAACAGTATATATATATATATATATATATATATATATATATATATATATATATATATATATATATATATATATATATATATATATATATATATATATATATATATATATATATATATATATAAATATATATATATATATATATATATATATACAGCCTAGACCTAGGCCTTCTAGTCTTATTTATATATTTTTAATATTCAGCGCTTTTTCACAGGAAAAGACTGGGACTAGGTGATTTGGGGGCGGGGCGGAGGAAGCAAGCCTAGAAGGCCTAGTGGATTTCCCAACAACAAGGCCAAAACTGCCCTGAAACTGCCCTGGTTGCGAAATGCCCAATTATTGCGTTCTCGAACAGAATTATTTGCAACTTAACGGCGAATTTAAACCGATACAGGTAAAATAAACTCATTTATAGCATAAAGTTACTATTTTTATTTGTATACACGTCTAGAAAATCGGGGGTTTTATCATAAAGTTCGAAGCAACACTATTATTTAATATATGTTGACAAGGTGTAGCGAAAGCACAAAATGAGTCAAAATATATACCAAAAGTAGAATCTTTCATGAAATTTTGTCTTATACACAACTACATTAATATATATTTTCTCAATTTTGGCAAGAAGCAGTCTTGTGTTTGTAAAATATACAAAATAAAACGGATACATATATTTAATATTAGCCCGTACAGTACTGTATATAAATACGTACATTGTTTACAAATGGTATATCCGTAATATTTGAACAATAATTTCAAAATCCTCATTCCCAATTCGCAAATATAGTTATTCAAAGCAAAACAGTAGACAGTATATTGTCTTGCGAATAAAAGAATTATTTATATTTTGTGCCGTTTCGCTACACCTTGTCAACATATATAAATAGTGTTGCTTCAAATATGATAAAAACCCCGATTTTCTAGACGTGTATACAAATAAAAATAGTAAGTTTATACTATAAATGAGTTTATTTTACCTGTATCGGTTTAAATTCGCTGTTAAGTTGCAAATAATTCTGTTTGAGAACGCAACAATTGGGCATTTCGCAATCAGGGCAGTTTCAGGGCAGTTTTGGCCTTGTTGTTGGGAAATCCACTAGGCCTTCTATTTTTTCGCTTGCGTCAGGCTTGTGTCCTTCCTCCGCCCCGCCCCCAAATCACCTAGTCCCAGTCTTATCATGTGAAAAAGCGCTGAATATTAAAAATATATAAATAAAAATAGAAGGCCTAGGTCTAGGCTGGTACATGCCGATTTTTATAACGCACAAGTGGGGGTCTCTGTAAAGAACGGAAACCGAAACGACCGAATCCGGAAACGACCGAAACCGGAAATTCCCGCCTAAATTTCCCGGATAACGAATAATTATATTGTTGATGCTCGATCGCTGGCATATTAAACATTTAGATAAATGTCGTCCGAAAGTAAGGTTGTATACTTTATTGACTTATTGACTTTATTAAAAACGGTACTATTTCACCAAGATATTTACAAAAATTAAGACGGGTGATCTTCCAATAGGCCGTATATAGCTATACTAATTACACATATACTACAGTATCTAATAATAATAACTAAATTACACACAAATTACACACTTACAGTTAGACTATTTTTAAATGTAGAGATGCTTGTTTTAGCTTTTATGTCAGCAGACAGATTATTCCAAGTCTCAGCTCCTCGATAGGCGAAAGACTTTTTCATAAAATTAGTTTTAGGTTTAGGTAATGCAAAATTGAATTCGCTCTGTCTTGTATTGTAATTATGTATTTCATTTGAGGTGATGAAAAGTTCCGTTAAGCAATTTGGTAACATGTTATGTTTGGCTTTGAACATTAGGACGGCTAAATGATGATTTCTTCTAGTCACGAGATTTGGAAAACCGACCTTGTTCAAAACAACGATTGTACGTGTATCATAGTTTTCACGAGTTATTATTCGAAATGCTCTATTTTGAAGCTTCTGGAGTTTATTTAACTGCTGACAATTTTGTCAATTATTTAATATTCTTACTGCATATTATTAACTTTCTTAACAATGCCGGTTCATGCCGGTTTTGTTTAATTTAATAAAAACGATATTGCATTCACTTTCTCATTTGACATACGATACGGCTTCCACTAAAATGGCACGCTCTTGATTTTGAAAAAATTATATACATGCTCATTTAGACGTATTCCAAATCCCAATTTATCTGACTGCATTTTAATAGCTTCAAATATTCAGAACACTGTTCTTTCAATCACAAGTAGTACAAGTATTATTGCATTCAATGGTAGTATTTTATTCGACTTTTAATTTGTATGTGTATTGATTAACTCGTAATGTATTATCTGCAGCCTATATTTAATATATTGTGCGGCTTGCTAATGCTTCGTATTATTGTTTACATTTCTTTATCCTGATGATGATTGAAATATAGTCGAAACGTTGATAAATATAAGAATGTTATCGATCTTTGGAGTTTACAACTTGTTTTATATACACTTCGTCGTTGTACATTTCACGCCCTGCGTCAATTTGATAGTTGACAGTCTTTGTTTATTATAAGGGATGAATGAATAAAACGCATGGTTCAGAGCACTGAGAGCAGGCTAAATTTTAGGCAATTTTATGCAGGAAATTAGGCGGGAATTTCCAGTTTCGTCGTTTCCGGTTTCGGTCGTTTCCGGATTCGGTTTTCCGTTCTTTACAGAGACCCCACAAGTGGGGCTAACGACGTTTGAGAGTCTTATGCGCGTTTCCATTTCCGCCACATAGGAGCATTAAACATAATTCAATTTTTCACATTGATACAGAAAACACTTACCACTCACAATTATTACGGGAGTCGATCATCAAATAAAGAAAACACACAAAATACAGCGCGCATACGCATTTTAAAAATCAATTTTTTGAACCAATTCTCATATCGCAAAAATGTTCTCATATCGCAATGAATGTGATACATACGAAAAATTATATTTTTACAACAATACCGATCTTCACATCAATATCGTAGTTTGCACTTCTGAAAATATTGCAAAAGAAAATTTTGAGATATATCGACCCATGCTGCTTGTGGAGACAAAATCAAAAATTAAAACTATACAAATTGCCACAGTGCATCACAAAGAATGTATGCGTCTTATTACGATAATAAAAAATATGGACTACAGTACACATTTTTTAATTTTTTAATTTTATTTCTTTCATTTCAGCACACAGACCAAAACACCCTACCCCCAAAGGGGTTCTTCACCAAAATAACCCTCGAAGAATTTATGAAACAAAGACTCATCAACAACCCGCTGGACAAATTCAAAGAATTTAAACCAATAGAAACGTAAGTGTACCCCAAAAAATTCATTCAGTTATGATTGTCACAACCAACAACAACAACAACAATGAGTAAGCATAACATTGGCATAGAAAACAAGAAGACACTATACTTCTACAATCACAGTAGTAAAGCAATAGCAGTCATTCTCGTAGACAAGAACGATCAAAATGATGGGTCCTCACTGTGTATGAAAATAATTATCGACGGTATTGGAAAACCAGTAGAATATACAACTTTAAAACAGGAACAATGTATACGTATAAAAACGGTAATAAAAACCCCGAAAAAATTACCCCATAAAAAAACACAAGCAATAATTTTTTTCTCTCTTGCTTTACAGATGATTATCAAAACTTGCAAACGTCTTGGTGATGCAATAAAGATAATATCTATATATGACTATTATCAACAACTTGAAAAACACGATCCTGAAGAAGACTTTCGTATTATAACATTAGCAAAATAACTTAGCAAAATTAACACAAAAAAGTGGAAACATCAAATTAAATTTTTTTTTAATATAAAATACGTGTACCCCGTGTATTGATTTCAATTACAACAAACAACATGGCACGAAGAGTAGAACCCAAAAACAACCCAATAACTATAAACTTATTTGACGAAAACATAGAAACTATATATATTCATATCACTACGAAAGATACCTACTACATACTTTTAGTACCGCCAGATAACAATCCGTTGGATTTTCCAAGTCAAATGATTATAATCACAGTTCAAAGTATAACAGAAGCTCGTTGCGTTGGCAGTATTACAGAAAACGAATGCATTACAATCACACCGGTAAGTTAATAATACGTCTTGCCATACGTGTCATATAAACAAATTTCGGTGATAAAAGTATATTTGTTTCAGCTGCAATCTTCCGAACCATTTCAATAAGCGAACAATCTCCATCATCATCTCTTAAAAGCTGTTCAATACGAAAATGTCTTCCCAACGAGAATGGTTTCTCATACGAATTGGTTTTAAATAACATAAAATAACCGTTCGCATATCGCAACTGATAAAAATATTTAAATTGTATTGAACTATAAACATTCATAACCGCAAATTCATGTTTACCACTATGCCAATATGAAGACTCATTTTCTTCTTCTTTTTCAATAACTGCTACAAAGCGAATATCAGTATACAAATGATCACCATAATACCAATCTATACAATGTGAACGATATTCAATTTTTCTTAGATCAGCACAAAGTCTCTTAAGAGGGCAATCGAAATTTTCACATTCGTACATCATCATCATCATCATCATCATCAACATCATCAACTCAAACCGAACTAATACGCACAGTTATCATTTTTATAGAAAAACGCAAAAACAGAAGACTATGACGTCAACAAAATCGTAGAAAAAATCTCAAAAGAAGAATATGAAACAGGATTAAAAAACAATGCTGATCCAAACACAAAATACTTTAGTGTAGAAAATCTTTACGGCAAGCTGTAAAATTTCGTAAATATAACAGAATGCAAAAAACTTTTTAAAAAATAATAACGAAGAAGACGAGAAAATGAGACAAAATAACAATATGATAATGATAAATTTTTAAAGATTCAAGATAAATAAAGCAATGTTTTATTAATTAAGGAAATTTTGAGAAATTTTTAGTCCTGCTGGGCAAGACAAGCAGGACCGCTAGCTACGCCACTGTTAGGTACTGCAAGTTCAGGTTACCGGTTTTTTTATGCTTACCACATGATTTATACCAAAATTTACCATTAATTTAATGTTTTGAAAACTTAGAATTTCAGATATGTCAGAATCAGAAACAGAAAAGACTGGAAACGAATCGGAGACTGCGAAAAATGTTGAGTGAAGATATATGGTTACCACTACAAGAAGTGGGAGAGTTATCACAAACTGGAGAGCTTCGAAATATAGATAAACGCAAGACAAATGTTAAAGGCGGTTTTCCACTACGCGAAATTTTTCGACCGAATCAAAATTTTCTTTTGTCTTACAAGCACACAGATAGAACTAAACAGAAATCTTTTGAATTTGAACAATACAAATTTCAGTTTGATCGAAAAATTTCGCCTAGTGGAAAACCGCCTTAAAACAGAATTTATGAAAATTTTCACTTACATTGCAGGGGGTTACGAAAATTTTTCCATAGGTTTTTGGTAGGGTATGGAAATATGTATTTGAAATTTCATTTATCCTCCACCCTCTTCTAGTAATTACTTTATGACCGGTCCCTTAACTCCTTAACTTTAGAACTAATTTCCTGACTCCCGGGCACAGTGCCCGACTGCAGTATTTCTGGACTAGTATCTCGATTCCGATGGAATTAAGTTTGATAGTTTAGATACATATATGATGGGTATTTTGAATATAAACTAAATGGAGCACACAGTCGTTTAGTTTTGATCGAGCTAGCTAGTACACCGAATATGGGTACAGCCGTTTAAGTTTTGGTCGAGTACGATTTTCCCGTTTATTTTTGATCGAGTATGCTTAGAAAGCGTACATGCAGCCGTTTACTTTTGATCGAGTACGCGTAAAAAGCGTACATTCACAAATACTTGATTGAGTACGCATATTAAAATCCACTATTATTATAGGCTACTTTTGGTATAGAGAGTACTGAATACAGTCCTCAGAGAGTAAGCAAAGTAATAGCACCAGAACAGGAAATCGAATAAGCCATTGAACGCCAATAAGATTATGACAAATAATCACATGCGTCCACGATTTGTTTCGATTGGTCAGAATGAGTAGCCGCAGTTATGAGTAGCCGCGTGGGAGAATAAGTCTTGCGCGAAAAAAACCCAGACCGAAACTACAACTCTAGCTGAGCTCGAGTAAAAAGACAGCATATAATTTGGGTGTATTTTTATTAATTACCCTTTTTTTAAATTAAAATATTTAAATAAAGAGGGAAGCAAAGTTATTTTCATGCACGAACTTGAAATCAATTTATTTCGATTTTGAAACTCAATGTTTACCGTTAAAATTCAGTTTAGTTTTAAGAACATTTTTAAACGTTTTGCGAAGCGTTTGCGGTAGATTTTTACATTAAATTGAAGCTTATATTGCGTATAATAACATACCTAGCATATATATATATATATATATATATATATATATATATATATATATATATATATATATATATATATATATATATATATATATATATATATACAGGGTGTATAAAAAAAAACTGAACAGATTTAAAATTGCTCTCAATTTCGCAAAACAGCTATTTGTATCCGGTTTTTTATATATATAGCCTCTTTGGGTACTTATAATGTAGAATTATGAGAAAAATTTCTCGAACTCAAATTTTGTGAACCAGGGGGGTGTGTCTTTTTCAACAAATTAAAAATGGCTCGCGCACAAAATTTAAAAGCTGCAATCATATTTTGAGTTAACAGATGGAAAATTTGTCGGGTTTTTAATTACTGTACAAAATTTCAGACAATTTGGTTTAATTTAAGCCCCTTAACTATTCACGCAAAGTTACATTTTTCCTAAAAATCAGCTATTTGCATGCTTAATTAATGCATTTGCCTAATTTGCATATGTCAGCAGTATGCAAATTAGGTAAAGGCTTTAATTAAGCATGCGAAAGGCTGACTTTTTAGAACAAAATGAATAGTTAAAGGACTTAAACTAAACCAAACTGTCTGAAATTTTGGACAGTAATTAAAATCCCGACAAATTTTCCATCTATGAGCTCAAAATATGATTACAGCTTTTAAATTTTGTGCGCGAGCCATTTTTAGTTTGTTGGAAAAGACACCCCCCCCCCCTGGTTCACAAAATTTGAGTTCGAGAAATTTTTTTTATTATTTTACATTATAAGTACCCAAAGAAGCTATATATAAAAAACCCCGGATACAAATAGCTGTTTTTCGAAATTGAGAGCAATTTCAAATCTGTTCAGTTTTTTTTATACACCCTGTATATATATATATATATATATATATATATATATATATATATATATATATATATATATATATATATATATATATATATATATATATATATATATATATCTCTCTTAAAAATACTTCTGTTAGTGTATCTTTCTTAATAGGTTTGTGTGTACGAAACGCAAAGAGTGCTCAATATCATAAAGATAGAGCAAATGTAGAATTTCGCTTACCTCAAAATTCCGCAACAGTCTGTTTCATCAGTAAAGAATCGTCAGGCGGTATGACAAGTTTCGAAAAATAGGGCTGCTTATATGTGTTTTGGCCGGAACGTGGGGGTGTGTGGGTGAAACAAAGCATGCATTCATCTATTGTTTGCGTTGTTTACGCGGAAATGCCTAATCGAATTGTGGGAGTGTATTGATTGCGTTGTTTACGCGAAATTTCTTCCTATGTCTGCACGTAGATATAATTTCCATTCTTTTGTTGAGTAAACGGTTTTGGTTTTCTTTCAAAATACAAAATTTTTCCTCTAAACATAAATTACATCGTTTTGATCCTCCCGTATACGAAATAGCGCGTTTCAAAATTTGCCAATTGATATTAAAATCTTTCTTGCTATCTTTCAATGTCCAAATATATTTCGAAAGTTCAGTTTTGTTTGAGTGCTCTTTATGCTCGAAAGTATAGTTATGGTTAGCCAAACGCTCTTTAAATGTAGTTGATTTCATGCCAATATAATTCATGATTGTGCTAGGGTTGCTTGTTGTGACTGTTGCTTTGTATACTATGTCCTTAGTCATGCATTGTTTCTGAAGTGGGCATATTGCGTTTTTCGAACAACTGCAATTGACAGTGCCCTTGCCCTGTGCCTTGTTCTTCCTAGCTATATGTGCATTGTGCTTGGTGATTATAGACTTAACATTGCTCATGCAGCTATGACTTACTTTTACTGTATTTCTATTAAAGATCTTATGCAGCTTGTGGTGCGAAGGAAAGTGCTTGTCGATAAGGTTAATTAAGAAAATTACGCCCTATATTAGTGCTGACATTCATGCTAAATGGTGGGTTGAACCAAATGATGTTACGTTGCCTATTTCTGCGTGCTTGCTGTGGTGCATGTTGAGTGTAGTTAAGATCATGATACACAAACCTATTCGTACATTCGCACCCGTATATCGGTTGTGCACTCTAGTTCACGTTTCTCATTTCTTACTAACTTCATAATGCGACGATTTCGATTTGACTATTCATTAAAGAATATTCCTATACCATCGCAGGA